AAGTGGTCTACCCGGTCGGGTATAACCTGTTCACCCGTGGCAGAATGGTTTAGCTGGGTTGCCCGGCCGGGTGCAAACGTCTACCCGGTCGGGCGAAAAATTAATTTTTTGTTTTTCTCTTGCCTCGCCCGGGTGGTTGCCCGGGTGTTTTGTTTTTTAGAGGTAACCCGACCGGGTGGGGTTTTATACCCGGCCGGGTTCAATCCCAGGTTTTTTTTTTTGAAATGTGTAAAAAAAAAGTAAACCTACCTTGCTTGGGTTGCCTCCCAAGAAGCGCCTTAGTTAACGTCGCGGCACGACGCCATGGTTGTGTTCAATCGTTCAAGCTTGGATCGTGATAACTCATCTTCTTCAAATTTTCACCCGGGTGACTCTTATAGAAACACTCAGTTTTTCGACCCTTAATTTTGACCTTTCCGGGATCAAATATCCTGATTTCGATCGCTTCATATTGTGAGAGTGTTGGTCCATGATTTTCATTAAGCATGGTCAATGGAAGGGGTTTTGATCCGGGTGGTATAAGAGGGAGTATGAAATATTTGTGTAATCCCACCGTTATTCCTTGCTTATTGTTTAACAAAGAAAAGTCTAAATTATACTCACAATTGCTGAAGATTTCATAGATATCTTTGTCCTTCTCCACCCTTTGTGTTTCCCTTAGAGCCTCAAGAAATGATGGCATGATCTCAGGAATGGCCGGTGGTTGAGTTGAGTTTTGAGGTTCCTCCTCCGGTTGAGCTTTCTCCGTAAGCTCCTCTTCTTCCTCATCCTCGCCCATGTGGTTCACAATGCTTGGCATTTGTTTCAACTGATTGTCCAAGTTCTGTTCGTTGGACATTGCTTCTTGCGAGCATTGTGACATATTTTGTTGCATATTTGTCACATTGATAGTGAGAGCTCGGATCATGTCTTCAGTGGACATGCTGGAATAAGAACATGAGTATGGGCTATATGTGTTGGAGAATGAATGATACCTCTCTTGGAAACCAGCACCATTCCTTTGTTCAAAGAATTCTTCTCGAAGCTCTGGACAAAAATCCGTAAGATGCCTTTGTGACATGCAAATGTTACATGTATGGACATCTTGAGATTTTGAACATGAGATAAACTCCTTTATTAGAGAAGTCAAGTCGGAAATTTGACTCTCTAGGGATGATGTGTTGGTATCCATTTACTCATGCAAGCTCAGAAAATAGAAAAGCAAGATTTTTCTTTATATATATATTTTTTTATTTATTTATTTTTTTTGTTTTTTTAATGAGATAAAATAAAAAGAAAAATAATTGCCTTTCCCCGGCAACGGCGCCAAATTTGACGAGCACTTTGTCACGGTGCGTCAAAATAAAATCAATACTAAACACTTATACGTAGTATAGCGTAGTAGAGTTCGTATCCACAGGGAAAGGAATATTTCTCTTTTTATGATACTTAGTAAAAGGGGGGATTTGGATTGAGTGATTTAATTTAATTAAGAACTAAGATGAACAACCTATATGTGTTTAATTCAAAGATAAAAAGGACTTGGCATTGCTACTTTCCACTTGTTGATATATTTTAGTCGATCATTGTTATATCTATAACTTATTCCCTCTCGAATACTCAATCAGGGAGTATATCCACTTCATCGAGGGTAGTTATTAACAACAACCGTTCATTAATAACCCTTACTATTAATCAAATATAGAACAACGTCTTATACCGATTTAATAGTAGCATTTAATCTTTCTAACTCCTTGATGAAATCAATTGAGATTGATAACCTCAACACAAGCGGTTTCGGTTTAACCAACAAAATTAATCCCTCTTAAGTTTATTAACCACGACCGTGCATTAATAAACCGAAGTTACTTACTTGTGAAACCATCAACGATTAACCATCGGTTCGTTGATCGTTTCTAGTAATAACTAATATATGAAACAAAACTAGTTGATCCTTTAAGTAATGTTCAAAATATTAATATGAAATATGAGTAGGGATTAATTAATATTCAAGGAAGAATATTATTAAAGAAGATGAATCCTACTATAATTAATATCAAGATGTTAACTAATTGTCATCTTAGCAACACTCCCCAATATTAATATAGAGGAAGAAAATATCATTCTAACTAATGTCGAGATGTTAACTAATTGTCATCTTAGCAACACTCCTCAACATCAATATAGAGATGGTATTAAGGAAAGAACTATTAATTAATATTCCAGGAAAGAAGTTAAGAAAATAACTCACAACTTTAATAATCAACAAGCTTCAAGAGCAACACCAAGAATGGAAGTTTAGCTCCTCATTTGGAGACTAAACATAGCTAGAAAAATATAAAGAAATGCTATTCTAAACTGAGCTAAAGAGTATGGAAGAAGGGATTATTTTTTGTGAAGAAAAAGTGTGCTATTTATAGGTGTTTTTCAACACCTTTGGCCGAGTACCCGACCGGGTCAAGTACTCACCTGACCGGGGCCATGTCAAAATCAAATATCCTCCACGTTCTGGCGATCTTCAGCATGTTAAAGTGTCCGGGTCAAGTCAGACCCGACCGGGTGGGGTAGGGGACCCGACCGGGTGAGTGCAAAAATTGGATATTCTTCACGTTCGGGTGATCTTTGCACACCGGGTTGTCCCCGGTCACTTCTCATCCGACCGGGTGAGGTAGTGGGCCCGACCGGGCCATGCACTTTCTTTGCATTTTCGTTTTTCACTTCTTACCCGACCGGGTCAAGTATTATACCCGGTCGGGTATTTGCTAATGGGCAGCCAAATCTTCTTTTTCTTCACTTCAAAGTCTTCCTTTCCAAAACCACAAATCCTAACTAAACTTTACAACTGACAAATAAAGACTAAAGTACGTTTACAACTGAAATCACATAAATGTTTGCAAACTAAATAAAACGTCAAACAATTAACATAAATCAAACACAAAAACATGTAATTATGCACTACTAATGAGTGTGCATCACCCTGAGGGAGGCCGAGCTCATGTACTCTCCTGTGGAAAAAACAGTGTTAGCCATCGTTTGGACCGTCAAGAAGTTGGGCCACTACTTTCAGGCTCACCCGGTTCAGGTCCTCACTCATCAACCCCTCGGCGCCCTCATGAGGAGCCCCACCAGCTCCTCCCATGAGGTGAAATGGGCTATCTTCTTGAGCCAATACAACATTGACATCCGTCCGAGGCCTGCCATCAAGGGCCAAGCCCTGGCGGACTTCGTGACGGAGTGTACCGCAAGGGCAGCCATGGACGGGGAGCTCTCGGCCACCTCGGATGACTGGTGGACCCTCTACACCGACGGCTCCTCCGCAACCAAAGCATGCGGGGGAGGGGTAGTCCTCATTACTCCTGAGGGATTCAAAGCCTACTATGCAATCCGCTTCTCCTTCAAAGTCTCCAACAACGAGGCCGAGTATGAGGCCCTCCTGTGTGGCCTTCGGCTGGCTGCCAACATGAAGGCTCGGCAGATCCATATCAAATGCGACTCCAAGTTGGTCGTTGGCCAAATCTCCGAGGAGTATGAGGCCAAGAAGGGAAGAATGAAACAGTACAAGGAGGCGGCCAAGGAGTTGCTTAAGGTATTTGAGGCACACTCTCTCACTCAAATACCGAGGGCTCAGAACTCCGAGGCCGACATACTATCTAAGCTCTCGGACGACTCCCCCGAGCACATCTCCAAGATCGCTAAAATTGAGGAACTCAGTCTCTCAAGTATCCATGCAAGCCCCGTCATGAACATACAACAACGCCAAGAGGACTGGATCTCAGATATCATCACCTTCATCTCCACATGGCGGCTACCCGAGAATGAGACCCGCGCTAAACTAGCAAAGCTGAGGGCTCCTAGCTACACCATCGAAGACGGGAGGCTCTACAAACGGTCTTACAACGGCACGCTACTTCGGTGCCTTCATCAAGATGAAGCCGAGGTCGCAATGGAGGAGGTGCACAGTGGCACTTGCTCAGCTCACCAGGGACCCTTCTCCATGTCCCGAAGGCTCATTCTCCAGGGCTACTTCTGGCCAACCATGGCCAGAGATTGTGCTGACCTTGCCCGAAGGTGCACCGCATGCCAACATTTCCAGAAAGCCCCCGGCAGGCCAGCGGTCAACTATGCCCCCATCAGCACATCCGTCCCCTTTTTTCGATGGGGCATAGACCTTGTGGGCCCTCTGCCGAGGGGTACTTCCAACAACAGGTACATCATTGTGGCCATCGACTACTTTACCAAGTGGGTGGAGGCTGAGCCCCTCGCCAGCATCACAGAGGCGAAGTGCCGTCACTTCGTCCTCAAGAACATCCTCACAAGGTTTGGCGTTCCCCAGCAGATCATCTCCGACAACGGAACACAATTTGAGGCAGCCCCCTTCTGTGCCCTTCTGGAGGCATGGGGCATCAAACACACCTTCTCCTCCGTTTCCTACCCTCAAGGAAACGGGCAAGTAGAGAACGCCAACCGGACCTTGCTCGAGGGCCTCAAGAAGAAGCTGGAGGCCGAGGGCGGTGGCTGGGTAGAAGAACTCCACAACATCCTTTGGGCCTACTGTAATACCCGAGATTAATTTAAGAGGATTAATAGTACTACTCATACCAACAAGATGCATCTCCTTTTAAGGGAGCTCATCACCCAAGAACTCCAAAGTTAAGCGTGCTTGCACGGGAGTAGTCTTGGGATGGGTGACCCCCTGAGAAGTTTCTCAGGGCGCGCATGAGTGAGGACAAAGTGCGCGGAAAAGGCTAGTGGCGGTTTGTGAGGACAGTACTAAAGGTCAGAAGTAACTACCTCGGGTCCTACGGGGCTGGGGTGTTACAAATGGTATCAGAGCAACCCTGCGACAGTGTGTTGACCCGTTAGATATCGGGCAGGCACTTAGCGGGGCAAGATTCTGGGGTTTGATTGAGAGTGTTAAGGGCGCAACGAGGACGTTGCGATCCTAAGTGGGGGTGATTGTAATACCCGAGATTAATTTAAGAGGATTAATAGTACTACTCATACCAACAAGATGCATCTCCTTTTAAGGGAGCTCATCACCCAAGAACTCCAAAGTTAAGCGTGCTTGCACGGGAGTAGTCTTGGGATGGGTGACCCCCTGGGAAGTTTCTCAGGGCGCGCATGAGTGAGGACAAAGTGCGCGGAAAAGGCTAGTGGCGGTTTGTGAGGACAGTACTAAAGGTCAGAAGTAACTACCTCGGGTCCTACGGGGCCGGGGTGTTACACCTACCGCACCACCCCTCGGCGAGCAACAGGTGAAACACCCTTCTCCCTCTGCTACGGGTTTGAAGCCAAAGCTCCTACGGAAGTCACCCTTCCTACCCGGAGGGTGATCCAATATGACCCCGAGGTCAACGACAGCAACATGGCCCTCGACCTCCACCTCCTTTCAGAACGTCGGGAGCAAGCCTTCATTCGGGCAGAAAACTACCGAAGGCAAGTCAAAAGCTACATCGACGCCAAGGTTCGCACCCGAGAATTCCAAGTGGGGGACTATGTCCTCCGGAGGAGGGAAGCCAGCCAACTGACCGAGGGAGGCAAAATGGCACCAAAGTTCGAAGGTCCCTACATCATAGCAGCCATCATCAAACCTGGGACTTACAAGCTCAAGCGCCCCAACGGGAAAGAGGTCCCCAGGCACTGGAATGTACACCACTTAGTTAAATTTTATCAATAATGTAAGAGCGGCCAAGCCCTCCTAACTAGTGAATGTACTATCCTATGGCCCAAGGCCTCCAATTTTGAAGAATGAAGACACATTCAAGACACCAAGAACAACCGCAAAACACTTATGAGCGGCCAAGCCCTCATACCAACTACAGGCCCCAGGCCTCACCACGAGAAGAACCCCCTCCGGCACCAAGTGCAGAGGGCGGACACCATCAACACCTTCAACAACAGTGAAAACACCAAGTGTTTCAAACAAGACCCCTCGGTACCAAGTACCGAAGATGGGGACTCCCATCACCGGCAACAGGAAACACCAAGTGTTTCATTTCAAGACCCTTCGGCACCCAGTGCCGGGGGAACAAATCTCCACCATCAACATCAAAAAGAAGAACACCAAGTGTTCCTACAGAAGACCCCTCGGTACCAAGTACCGGGGGATACATATCGAAACTAACACCAAGTGTTGTTTCTAAAAGCCGTACCCCACGAGGACGCATATACCGAAGGCGCCACAATCGGTGCCGGTGGCACGTAGTGCCCCCGGCCATTTGCAACTAGTGTGCAAATGAAAACCCTTCCTTGAAACGCTTTCCGCGTTACTACCCCCAGGGTATGACAGGCATGAGAAATGCCCAGGATTCGACTTTCAAAAACGGAACGCTTTCCACGTCATCACCCCAAGGGTATGACAGGCACGAGAAATGCCCAGGATTCGACTTCCAAACCGAAACGCTCCCCGCGCTACCACCCCAAGGGTGTGGCAGGCCACAGACTATGTCTAGCGTCGAGGGGACGACTTTCAAAAATGAGGCGCTTTCCGCGCCATCCCCCAAGGGGAGGCAGGTTACAGACCACCATATCTTGTGCCCAGGAAACGACCCTCGATCCCCTCGGAACTCGGAAGGTTAACCTGAGGGAGGAGAGCCATTGGTGTATTCTGATGGTCTCCTGATAGGCCCAGCCTTACCATGAAACCAAGTTTCTTGATGCCTTCCCTTCACCACCAACCAAAAAAAAAACAGAGGGGCTGAAGGGGAGTAGACTCATCGAGAAATCAATGAGTACAACACTCCAACAAATCACAGCATACCGAAGGCTCCCTACGGGAACACCTCCGGTAACTGAAGGCTCCTATTTCATGAAGGTTACTACTCAACAATACAAAGGGATGAGTTCACTCCTAATAAGTGCCGAGGGCACCTACCATCGGTCATCCATTGCTACCGAGGGGTCCTATCCTGTAAGAGGGGATGCAACTGACTAAGGCATCTCAAGAACCCTTCAAATGAATGCCGAGGGCACCTATATCCCACCAGCATTCACTACAACATCAATATCCTACAAATTTTCCTAAGTCCACACTTTTGGAAAAATGACAACAGCCGGAGGCTCACATATCACCCAACAACCGAAGGCATCTATTACAAATCATCAAAGGCCAACCAAGGGGGATTATTTCAAAATAATGTCGCCCTCGGGAAATCTTAAGTGGAAAACACTACTAACCGAAGGCTACACAAGGAAGCAACACTTAGAGAATTTTCTAAGTCCTGAAGATTGAGCCCCCAGCCTGATCAATATTTCAACTAGAGGAACCATGATAGCCGAAGGCTACGTGATGCAACAACACTTAAAAAATTTCCTAAGTCCTACATATTTTGGCCCTCGGTCAAATCTCCATGCTACCCGAGGGGACATGCGGTTGAAGACTTGGCGAAGCTATACTTAGAAAAATTTTTCTAAGTCCTACATACTTTGACCCTCGGTCAAATCTCCATGCTGACCGAGGGCTCCTGCTACATACGTGCTACACTTAGAAAAATTTATAAGTCCCAAAAGATCTTACCCTCGGTGACGAGTTCCTAAGTCCCAAATCTCCCTGCAACCCGAGGGGTCACGCGATTGAAGGTTTGGTGGGCTACACTTAGAAAAATTTTCTAAGCCCTAACTTTTGCTGGGCCCTCGGTCACACATCTAGCAAAGGGTGCCCGACTACCGAAGGCTATGACTGTATTCAAACACTTAGAAGAATTCTCTAAGTCCTAAGCACCTCACCTCCGACCATCGCACGAAGGCTACACGGGACCAGAAGGGAAGATCAGCTGGGGGCCAACAGATGGACAAACACTTAGAAATATTTCTAAGCCTTGAACATCGTGCCCCCGGTAAAACGTTAAAGTAACTAAAGGTTACTAGTAGCCGAGGGCTACGAGAAGCACCGCACTTGGAAGAAAATATCCTAAGTCCTAAACATACATTCAAAGAAGGGCGAGGGCGTACATTCAGAAGGAAACGACGGCATACATTCAGGAATAAATAAATCGAAAGGAAGCATGTTATATATGAAAAGCCCGAAGGCAAACATTCATCAATCGACAGAAAGAAGAGTAAATGTGATTGTTACAAAGATGGCCGGGGCCAAAAGCATAAGAATGTGACCATTACAAGTGTGTTCCAATTGCTAAGTACAGATTACAAATCAAACAATATCATTCCCGGGAGCCGCCTCCTCCGATGGCTTCGAGGTGACCTCTACATCGGCCTCAGGTTCGTCACCCTCGGCTTCCTTCCGGAGCTCGGTGTCCTCCAGGTCTGGCCTCTCGACATCAGAGGGGAGAGGAACACGGATGTCTGGCTGCAGGGGGGAAGCCCGTATGCCGCCGGGTCGAAATCCTTCGGCTCAATTTTCAAGTGGCGAGCCATCCTCCGGTAGATGAGGGCCTGGGTGAAAAACTCGCCCCCATCATAATATTGTTTGCCCTTTCGGGCCATCCATTCCTCGCCCGGGTCCTCGCACCACTCATCGACCGAGGCCTCCACAACCGAGGACAGCCACTCCTTGTGTCCCTCGGCCTTCCACCCCCCATCCAGGAACCCGGAGATGGCCTCCTCCCGGGCTGTGGCGACAGCCTTCGCTCTGATGGCCTCGGCCTCCTCGGCGGCTTTCCTTGCGGCCTCCGCAGCAGCCTCCTCAGCTTTGGCTTTCTCCTCCCTAAGCCTTCCGGCTCCCGCTCTCGCAAGTTGGAGGTCCTCTTCAAGCTGGGCCATCAGCTTCGTGGCCTTGGAGTCCTTGAGAATTAGCTCCTTCATCTTTGCGTCTTGCCCAGCTTTGTGGAGGCGCCATTCCTCCAGCCGTCGGGCCTGCTCCCCGAGGGCAATGCAGGTCTGCAAAAATAAAGGAATTAGCAGGGCCGAACATGATTTCCTAGTTCGGAGAAAAGAAGAGAAAGATAATTGTCATAGACTTACCGTGAGGGAAGACCGGAGGATCCTGTCCTCGAGGGATTGGTCATCATCGGCCCCGAGGGCTGCCCTGTCAATGTCAAGGGTTATACCTCTCAGAAGCGCCCTCGGGTCAGCCGTGCCATTCAACACGGCCGTACCAGTCGGGAGGGAGAGCGTAAGGACCTCAAGAGATGGCTCCCGGACACCCCTCGGCACCTTCGCCACCGGCATCTCCTCGCGCACCCCGGAGGCGGGGCAGTCATCCACAATCACCATCGGGGGGTCCTTCTTCGCAGCGTCCCCCTTCTTCGATTTCTTGGTGGCCTGGGGGGACTCCTTTGCCGTCGGTTTCCTCTTCACGGCGGCAGCGTCGCCCTCGGGCTTCTTGAAAAGCGCACCGACGGGCTTTTGGCCACCCGCGTCCGACCCCTTCAGATCCTTGGCTGGCTTGTTCTTGAAACGGGCAAGGCCTTTGACGTTCATCATATTCACCGAGGGGTCACTAACAGATGGCATAAAGAGAAACAAACAAGCAAATGGGTTAAGACTGCGAGAGTGCCCTCAGCCACTACCTCCGGAGGCTCCCTCAAACACTGGGAACTTCTCATCTGTTTCCCCCAGGAAGCGATACCTCCGGAACCCGAGGGTGTAGAGATCTCCCTCTTTGGTGCACTCCTTAATGGTGATATTCTTGTCCCGGCCCTCCGGGATCATGGCCAGAATCCTTCCGTCTTTCTCGAGGGAGGCGCTCCTCTTCTCGTGCCTCCTGAAACGGTCACGTAACTCCCTCGGGAAGGGGCTCTCGGTCAGCTTCACGTAGCACCACCGGTCCTTCCACCTCTTGTTCGAGGAGGGTGCCTCAGTGAAGAGCTTGAACATGGCCACCTGCTGCAAGTTTGCGAAGCCCTCGGCATTCGCATGCCCCCCGACACAAATTGAAGCTCTGGAAGAAGAGGTCCAGGCTAGGCGTCACCCCCCGGGACTTGCAGAGCTGGAGGAAGCCAGTAATGTAAGAATGGTTGTTCGGGGTCAGCTGGCAGGGGACCAGACCCACGAACCGGAGGTACTCCCGGAGGAAAGGGTGCAGGGGGAAGCGGAGCCCCATGGACACCGAGAGAACATGCACCACTATACAGCCCTCGGGAGCCCGGAAGGACGTCATCTGGACCCGGTGTCACCACGATGGCCGAGGGGCCCACGTGAAGCTGAGTGACGTAGATGTCCGCCGCATCAACCTTCGACCTTATCTCCAAGGCGGCGGTGTTCAGGTAGGAGTACCCCTCGGGCATATCGAGGGGCTTCCCTTGATCTACAACGCTGCCCTTCTTCTTGGGAGCAGCTACCTTGGCCTTCTTCTTTCCAGGGGCCACCCGGATGGGAACCGCGTTCAGCGGCCGAGAGGTACTGGCCTCACCAGCACCCCGAGGGGGAAGGACAGCCACGGTCACCCTCGTCCTCTCCTTTGCTTCCTCCTCCTCTGCAACCTGCATGGCGAGGGCCAGCTCTTCGTCTTCCACCTCCTGCTCGAAGCCCTCGGCTTCAACTTCAGCCAGCAGCTCCTTCTGCACCTCTACTGCCATCGCAACGTCCTCCTGGGCCGATGACTGTTCGTTTGAGGACTCCACATCCGAGAGGACTTCATCCTCCATCGAGGGCGCCCCCGAGATGTCTTGAGAGTCACTCTGTGAAGACATTGCTGTACTAGGTCGAGGGTTCGGGGACGCTAAGTGCTCTAAGCTACCTACCTAGTCTAAGGCCACAAATACAGCTAGCTAAGAGGTGAAGTGCGAATGGAGAA